TGGGGGGAGTGATTGATAAGCACAGAGAGAAGCACAATGGTCTAAGGTGGTAGAATATGGGTGAGTTGGTGGTGAGTGCTAATAGTTGATGCTATTACCAAATATTACCTCAATTAAAAATAAATGATTACAATTTAAAAATATATTAAAAATGAAGTAAAAATGTTATTATTAAATACAAACTTAATGTTTGGAACTAAGCTCTAGAGGTTAAGATTTAATTGCTTTGGAGATTACTTTGAGCGCTGGGATTTTCATAGGTGGGAATAATGTAATTCGATGAGGATTACCAGATGACTCTAATGTATAAAAAAAGTTGAGAACCACTATTCTGGATAAAAATAAAAATCCTTATTCCTAGGGGATATTTAAAATAACATTCTGAAGTAAATTAAATTTGCACTATTATAACATATTATATACTTTGAATAGTTAGTGCAATCATGAAAAGTAGCCAAAACAAACAAAAGATTAACCAAATACCAAAATACTTTACAATTTTACAAGCAGAAAATTATATTAAATAGCTTGTCAAAAGGAAGTAACAGCTTCCCTTTGCTTGTAAGACTGTGATCTATGTGAAAGAAGCAGATGGAAAAAATAGCAAGGAAAAACAGGCAAAATATCTTACTTTGATGATTTATACATTAAAGTCAAGAATAATTCACTGAATGACAAGAGAAAACTAGACATTTGATCTGTCACTACAGACTAGATAATAACGATATACCTTGGAAGTACTCTAGTGAAAACATCAGAATAATGCTCTAACATTTTATCTTTGGATAAAACATCTTATGATATTAAAAAAAAAAGGAAGCTAAACACAATAGAATTAGAATTTAGACCAGTCATTTTATAGTAGCTTATTCAAAGTATAACTGTAGTTTTTTGAAATCAATCACTTCACAGATCTGTGCCTTAGAATTAACTTAATCATGCATTACGGAATGCTAAATATAGCTATTCAGCATTTTCCTTTTTTTTTTTTTTTGCTGTAGAAACCACTTTGTGATTCAAGAATGCAGTCCTGCAGAATCCAGGCTTAGTGAAATTCCCAGTAATAAGAAGAAATGATAAACAGTTCCACCTTGCATAACATATCAACATTTTCTGAAGTGCTGATATTTTAAATATTAGTAGCCATTAAGAACTTGCATTCAAATACTTTCCTACTTCAACTTGAAAAATAATTAGCATTAATCTGACCCACTTTCATATCTATGTGACTTTGGAGGTACATTTCGCACATGATGTGTGTACCTACTTCACTCACCTTCGATTAAAACATAGTTAAACAATTTATCAAAAAGAAATATTAAAAAAAACTTTAAGAGAATAAAAAAAAAGAGCTTGCAATTTCTTCTCAACACCAAAGATTAATATTTCTCTAATCAAAAAACTGATGTGGAACTTCCAAAGACTCTATCTAATTTAACTGTACTGGAAAACTCAATGTACGATTGAAAATTCAGGAATGACTTAGGAGATTATAACTGTTTCCATCCTGTGGATGAGGAACCCTGTTGTGTGCCTTTGATGTCTGGCTGCTCAGAAGTATTTTGTGCTTTCATATCGAAGATGAAGGAAAATTTCCTAGAGAGTGAATCATCATGTGAACTGTGAACTCAACTAAATAAATCAACCACTTTAACACTGGTTAGGTTGGTCTGTTCTTTAATCTAAAGAAGTAGCCAGGAAGATTGCAGCCAAGGTAACCCTCTGTCTAACGGGGATGCATATCTAAAGGCAGGGCCACTAGTTTCTAGCCACATTCTGATTACATTGACAAATGTCACCATTTTTTTTTCTAGGAAAGTACAGAATTCTAAATCGAAATGTTTTATGAAAAGCAGCTTGAATAAAGAAATTAAATCAAGAAGTAAAATGTGCGGAACATCTCTGCCATGAAAGTTTATAAAATGTATTAACTTGTGGGCTCTCCCTGGTGGTACAATGGGTTAAAGCACAGCATTATGAAACTTTCCGAAGCCATTGTAGTTCTATCCCCTTCCAGGGAGCTGACCCACATGGTGTGACAGATCTCTCCTGACCCACCCCCTAATCCCCTCAGCAGTGTACTTCTGCCTGTTCTGTTCCCCCTCTGGTGAATCCTCTCACTCACCACACCTCTGGCCTGTACCGCAGTTCTGTAAGCATAAATAAATATTTCAAAAAATGTATTAACCTGCATCTCAATAGTAATTCTCAATACATGTGAGAAAACATTTAGATAGGCATCCTATTTCATTACTACCTCAATTTTCCCAAAATATGCAACTGGAGGAGAAGACAATCTGAAATTCTGCTTGGAACATACTTAATTAACTAATTAAGCGAGACTTAAATTGGCAATCCTTCCTGTATTTCCATCTTCTGTGAAATAAATAAAAGACAATGATAGTGTGAAATCTTAATGAAGCTATTTAGAAATTAGTCATTGGTAAATTTGTTTGCATATTTTTTTGGTGGAAGTTAACACTGGTTAGGTTGGTCTGTTCTAACTGCACTTGAATGCAGTTGAATGGTGTTAGAAAAAATGCTTTATAAACAACCCTAGACATGGAAAGACTCCCAGTATAAAGACATATTTGAAGTCTTATTTGTGATATTTTAGAATTCTGATGTATACCTGATGAATATCAATGATCTAGATACGAAATTCAATAGTCAACTTTTCTAGTATAACAGCAAAGGAAAGAAATCCTAAATTTAAGTCTTGAAATTTACTTGATTTCTCAGCATCATAAGGTAGCTCTAATGCATTGCATTAAGAAAACCTGTTTTTGGCCCTCCCTGATGGCGCAGCGGGTTAAAGCACAGCACTGAGAATCTGAAGCCGCTTCCGCATGAGTTCGATTCCCGCCTGCCCCGGAGGAGACCACATGGCGAGCCAGACCTCTCCTGGCCCGCCCGCTGCTTCCCTCAGCAGTGTGCTTCGTCGGTCTGCCTGTTCTGCTCCCCACTCTGTCTCTGGTGAAGCCTCTCACCGCCCCTGAGCCTCTGGCCTGTAACCCCAGTTCTGTATGAATAAATAAATCTTAAAAAAAAAAAAGAAAACCTGTTTTATGATTCCTTGCTTAAGTAAGCAAATGTGAAGATTTCCCTTGGGACAATTAAAAATATTCCAGAAAATTATTTCCCAAATTGCACTCCAGACAACACTAAGTTCAGGGGATGCTACTTGTAAAATGGTTTTTATAAACAAATGGTGAGGCAATGACAGATACTAAATCTTCATAACCATCTAGAATTTTCTTCAGATACACATTCTCTAAGAGCAAAGAATTTGTCTAAGCCTGTTCACTACCTTATTCCCAAACCTATAAAAAGTGCCTTGCAATGAACAGGCATTATGGAGGAATAAATGAATGAATCAACAAATGCACACTGAAAGCTCTGAATACTTCTCCAATGTAGGAAACCCACTTTAGCTTTCTTTCAGAGTATGTCATCCTCTTTGATTGTAGAAGTCTTATTTTTTCTTTCAGCATTATAGAATATTTTAGGCATAAAAGAAGACAGGAGAGCATAGAGAATATATAACAAAAATATCTGCGACTACTACCATTATTAAGAATTAAATGTCATAATACAACAGAAGCTTCTTGAGGACCCTTTCTTTATTTCATTCATCTGGTCAACTCAAAAATGAGGTTAGCATTACATTAGAACTTATTTTCAATGAGACTAACCATCTACGCTGACAAATCCTCAAGTGGGGAAGTGCTAAATTCCCTTTGAAGGCTTAGATTTTAATTTTTTTCTAGCTGGTCTATATATTTTTCTAATGGTCATTTAGAAAGCCATCCACCCAATGCTTTAATGCAATAAAGAGTAAGAAAAGAATGAAATAAAACACTACGATACAGAAGTAAGACAATGGACACTATGAAAACGATGTATATCAGGGGCAAAGTAGTTTTTCTTTCAAAAGGATTGATATGAAATTTAAAGATTATCTATCCAATCTTATCTATATCTACATGTGTATCTTCAGTGACTAGTACAAAGTACTTGCTGCTTAATTGAGAATGAATAATTTGAACACTATTCTTTACAATTACAGAGGAAAAAAATACTGTAACAATGAATATGTTGAATCATACAGGGCTGCAAAAGCAAATCTATCTATGTCTAGAAAACTGTTTCACAGTGAACCTGTGACATTATATTTGAATATATTAGATGCAGCTAAGGAGATGCCCTCTGAAATGACTAAACAGTAATAAAAAGTAGTTCTTATCAAATGTCAGCATACTACAGAGAAGCACAGATGAGCTAACATTTTTTAATAGGAAAAGACCTATTTTTTATTTAAAAAATTAGCCAATACCTTCCATACCTTGTTTAGCTACAACCTATCTTCCTCAAATTTTCAAGTACCATAATACAGATGTAGTATTGCTCAGTTGCCTTACAATTATTTTATGTTATTAACTAAATATTCTTTTCATATATAATTTTTACCCTTTGCTTCATATAAAAGGTTTTTTACCTAGGAGAATACATTTTCACACTGCTGTGTTTCTTAATTTTATTTATGAAGCATGTTGACTATTCAACAGTGAAATATATAGACGAGACCACTATCTGTTCTTCTGTTCTGTGTAGATGATCAAATATACACTTAAACCCAACACTAGGCGAATGCACTTAAACCAAGGGCTAAAATAGTAAAAAAAAAAAAAAAAAAAAAAAAAATTCAGATGTTTGGATAAATTTTCACTTTGTAAGGGTTGGTTTTAAAGTCAAGTCTGTCTTTGACTTTTCATTTGTTTTTTTTTTCTATAAGTAAATACAATAATAGCATATTGTCCACATTGAAACCATTTTACTTTTCAAATCATCCCACTGAATTCTTCCCATGTTAAATACCATCAGGGAGCAAATGACAAACTCACTCTGTGTTCAGAAATCCACAGTACTCTCATGTTTAAATGGATGGAAAAGATTAGAATTGGAAAAAAAAACTTATAAAATATAAATTCAATTCTTACCTCCATTATCTTTTAGATGTAGTGCTATCTTGGTATCATCTGAAAGAGAAATCAAAGCTGTTGCAATGAAACAATTTAAAGATGCATACATTTTATGATTAGTAATCCTCTGCTAATGACTTAACAGTAACGAAGATTTTGGTATTTTACTAAGCTGTTTTCTAATACAATGGACGTAACCTTATGTAAGGCATATGATGTGGTACTAACAATTCTTACTGAGATTGTTAACATCAGTATATTAGTAAAGTGTATAATTATTACAATCAGTGAGGACAGTAGTTTTAATTTTAACTTAAGCTACATTTATCTTTCATTTACTAAAATAATTTACTTCAACTAAACACAGTTGTGGGCCTTCTGTATTTATTTTAAAAAATCAAGATGAAAAGAATTCTGTGTTATTTGGAATAGTAAAGATCTGTCAATATGTACTAATTTCAAGAGTTAAGTGCTTATTCACTGCTAACAAATAAGTCCAAAATTGTATATAACAGATTCTGTCCTTAATGAACAAAATTTAGGACTTTTGTTTGTATTTCTATGGTTGTAGTTTAGTCTAATGGGAAGGGTTCACATCACAGATATTCTTCCACTAATGGTATACCAATCTAAAATAATATGGCTTTAATGGCAATAAAATGTATTTGGCAGCTGTCGTCTACCTCTATTTATTACTCTATTTGGTTAACTTTTAAATTTCAATTGAAAACAAAGGTTTCGAGCTTAATTTTTTAGTCAAATAAAAGCAATGTTTATGATAATATGTAAGAGCACTTTACCCCTCAAAGATTGTCCTTAACTAACTAGCCTCACAATTCTAATGGCAATATTCAGAACATAAGGCTAATAAATTTGGACTAATAGGTCTTTTCCCACAATGAGCTGTGTTCACATATTAACATTTTCTAGCACTTCTCCCTTCCCTGGTAGTAGAAATGTTTTTCAAGGACAATTTCTATTACATATTCAAGCCTTTCTATAAGGTAGAAACCAGTAGATTTCACTGACTATATTTAGACAAATACAAGAATTGCATCAATGTAGAATGATCTATTATTCAGAATCCAAAACTCAATGGGCTTATTATATGCATTTTGCTTTTCCAGTCTATGAGGGAAATATTTAATTTAATTATGACAAAGTATAATGAAATGACATTTCTGTATCTTTTCTAAGGAGCTCTAGGGAGGACAAGTAGTCAGAACAACTGTTAAAATCTAAGTCCTAGTAAAATGCACAGTACATTCAAGAATCCCAACATATTTTTTTCATAACTGTTTTATCCTTTCCCATTTAGAAATACAGTTTGCGGAAGGATGACTTTCTGTCTAGAAAACTACTCCAATATATGTCAAAACCAGTGACTTTTCTCCCCTTCAGGAATGAAGCAAATTCATGGCTGGCACCTTCTGTGGGCAGGCTGGTGGGCAGCTGCGATGTGGCTGCTCTTCTCGTGGTGGTTAAGACCCTGAATTGTGTGGTTGTTGCTTGTATGGTGGTTGTGGTGGAGGTGTGAGAAGAACTTTCCACTGGCTCTGTATTCTCACACATCTTCTCTTTTGACTAATAAGAGAAACAAAAAGGAGAACAATTTGCGAGTGATCATATAGCTAGAAAAATTACATCAAGAGTGGGGCTGATAAGCACAAAGGTTCTCAAATCAAGGTGAGGAATGAATTGCTGTGTACATGAGACTATGGATTTTACTGCTTTTCAAGATATATAAAATGGCAAGAGAAAAAATGGATCTAATAGTTTCTCTTTAAATATTTGTACTACATCTGCTGTTAACCTTTGTATCATACTTATCTTGCTAAATTTTATATCAATGATTTATCAGACATGATGTGAAAGGGAAAAGTTTATGCAAGAAGAAAAACACATGTATCATGATAAGATTTAACACAAGGCTTAGGTATGGGAGGAAAGCATGCATTCCCTTCATATCAAACTGATAATGCTAAATTCTAAACACTTGGTAACTGCTCCATAACTCTTGGTATGTTTATACGTTTCAAAAATAATCCACCACAGGTTGAGTGGAATTGAAAATTTTGTTTACTTTTATGAAATAATCAAAATCATCCAACAGATTTAAACAGGACTTTTGTAACCACTTAGCTTATCATGACCTTAGCAGACCTAGATGAGGAAAACAGGAACAAATGCACATTGCATTCTAAAAATATTATAGCCCACAAAAATAAATTCTATAGTCTTCACAATCTCCAGCATGAAAATGTAATACTTTAGATGTTGGTAGTTTTCCCACTTCTTTGTGTTTTGAAGGACTCCATCCCATGATAGATGCTGAGTAGTTGATGACAGTCATTACTCTTCCCACATTTGAAAACTACTATTGAACATACTCCTTTCTTACACTTCTCTTGTCATTACTCAAGTACAGTGTATTTTAACAGGGGCTTAAGAAGTCTCTGCGACAGCTTCTTTTTCACTATTTGAAAATGATACAGTTTTATTCCCCACTCAAGTCCTAACTTCCTAGGAGTCCATTCAACTCCCCAAACTTCAATTCCTGCATCTTCTCATCCCCAGCAAGTTCATGATCTTGACTCCATTTACTTGTCACCACCGCCTGAACTTTTCTGTTATTGAAAATGCTCTACTTTTATAATTATAAATTCTGCTCATCTATTCCAGTCTGTCCATGTACCTGCTCACCCAAATTTTTCTATTCTGTGGCTATAGAAAAAATCACAAACATACTGACTTCCCTCCTTTTCCCAATGGCTTCACTCAGTATCTTCAAGCATCTTATCCACCCTTTTTTTTTTCTCTCCCATTCTGCCTTTGCAGAAATGCCCAATGCTGACCTTAGTAAAATATCTTCTTTTCTTCTGCCTGCAACAAAGCCAGACACACTGAGAAAATAATCTGTCTCCAAGTGGGAGCTCTGCCTACTTAGTTCTTGTGTCCTTGGAGAGCTCTTCCATGCTGTTTGGCAATGCAGTACTGCCTTGCTAATCTCCTCTGCTGTTTTCCTCAGTATCAGTTCTAAACCCTCTCCACTCCACTTAAAAATACAATCCCAGAACAGCTTCCTTTAAGAAAGTGTCATCAGCAAGAATTCCTTAAATGTATTAGTAAGTCTTCATTCTTATTGGAATCTACACTGATATCCTTTTCTCCTTCTGTAATTGTAGGTTAATCATTCATTGCTATTCTCACAATTTCTACTTGCCCAATGTAGCCCACCTTCTTAGTATAGTGAGCTTGCTCATTTGATCCTGTCCCCCCTTCATTGTTTTCTAGCTGTATTTTTATACTACTTTATTACTATCAGCCCTTAGACATACTCAAGCATGCCAATTTTATTTAGAAAACCCAGTCCTCCCTCTTCTTTGTACTGCACACTAACATTACCTTGTTCTTCCTTCCATTTAGTCTTAATTTCAAAGTGATAGAGCTGTCCTAATTTTTTCCAGACTTCCACTTTACCCAGTTAATGTGACAATCTTGATTTGAACTTGTCCAACTTAACTGAAATTTCTCATACCAATAATTCTAAACATATTACTAAATGAATCTTCCATGGCATATTCCTGATAGTTCATCAATACTTGGCACAGCTAGCCACCTCTAATCTTGGGTTCTGTGACACACACTTTCATCAATTTTCTGGTACCAGTCCAAAAAATCTTCCTCTACATTCTTTCATTTCTGTCTAGCCCTTAAGTATTGGTGATTTTTGTGTATCTTTCTGGACTCATCTTTTCATTATATGTATTCCCACTAGCAACACCCATGCTTTCAATTAATATCTACTGTTGATTATGCATAAATATTTCTAGTCCATATTTCATTCTTGGAGTTCAGGTTCAACTTTTCATCTGTTTGAATTAACATATGCATAAAGATACAACAGACACCTCAAACTCATTAGTATAAAATGAAAATTCTATATATTATTTTCTCCTGAGTTTCTATCCTCAGAGAATATTAAAATCAGATACCCTAAATGTTCAAGGTACGACCTTTGGCTAATTTAGCTGATGACAATAAAAGCAAATTCAAGACTAGATAGTCCTTCTGTTACAAAACAAGTAGATTCTGGATAAAACATGAATTTTAAAGCATTACTAGGATTTGTAGGAAGTAAAGAAGATCTGCAAGGACACGATTCAATTGTTTCCCCCACAAAACAAAGCAAACGCTACAAAGACAGTGGGAGCAGGATATATTAAAGTATAAATGACAGAATTTGCTCTGGTTGGGGGGGGTGTCTAAAATCAGCATTGCTCTATGAAGATCAGACCTTGGGCTAATTGCAGATGGAGGGGTAAATCTACTTCTGTCCTCCTCATATAAAGACAGGGATAAATAGTATCCCCTTAGGCCCTCAAGTTCCTCATCAAACTCTCTTCGGTGGGTAAGCACCACCTGTTTAGGACCTAGTGATTCCAATGGAGTATGATCAAACAAATATGCACCTTTAACTAACAGACACAGACACACAGACACACAGACACACACACACACACACACACACACACGAGGACCCAAAAATCTTCAAAAACAATGAACATATTTAGACTACAAAAAATAGATATTGGGACCATACAATATGGAATATGTAAACATTTACATGAAATAAATAAATGAAAGTATATTTTAAACTAATAATATTGACTATGAAATGATTTGTCAGCTTTAATAAGTTATGAAATTGAAATGTGAAAAAAGTATATCTTTCACACTAAATATGTTAAATAACAGATTAAATAATCAATAAATAGACAAATAGAGCTGAAGAAATTCCCTGGATGCAGCACAGGGAAATAAGAAACAGATGATATAAAAGAAGCTAATGGATACCAGGGAGCAATGATCAGTTCGAGCCTGTTTCTAAAGCACTCAGAAGGTGAAAAGAAACAGAAGAATAGAGCAAGTCTGATCGACTTTATCAAACTTGACACCAATTGGCCAGAAGATGCATCTTCTTGAGAACATGCACTTCATGTGTAGAAATTGCCCAGGGACTATTTCACTGAAAAGTTCCAACCAGTTTTAAAGAACCCTTTCTCTGACAATCAGAAGTCAATGTAAAGACACTTTTTTTAATGTCTAGATTTTGAAAATGCGATGTAATCCATGATTCAGTACAATCCCAATTAAATATTAACAGTGAATGCAGAGGTGGAAAAATTGAGTCAACATTTATTATAAAAACAAAGCCCCTAAAACAGTTAAAACACTTGCTAAGAAGAAGCAGTAAGACAAGGTGTCCTATAGATTATAAGATTTCTTATAAATCTATATTAATTAAGGCCATGTGCCATTGGGCAGAGTATTGACAAGTTGAGCATTACAGGAGATCCCAGAAACCAACTCTGTGATTAATGGAACCCATATAAGAAAGAGGTGGGCTTTGCACGAAATTACAAAAAGGAAAGATTATTCAGTAAATGGTGCTTGGAATGATCCAGAAAGGGAAAGTCCTCCACAAAATTGACTTTCTATTTTTTTTTTTACACAAACTAATTTCAAAAGGAATGAAAATTTTAATGTGAAAGACAAAGCTGTTTAAGAAAATATATGAGAATGTCTTTATGAAATTTGGGAGGAGTCATTTTAATCAAAATCCACATATACATGAAATTAACCATATATAAAAATATTAATTCATTTGAAACTTTGAGATTGGATGTTAGCTAAGTAAAATCACAGAGAAAATAAAAAGAAAAATCAAAATCTGGAAGACAACATTTAACAAATGCAACAATGCAATAATGTTGCAATAATGCAACAAAAATAAATAAAAAGGAATGAGGAATACAAAGAAGTAAAAACAACTCTCATTATTTGTAAGTGATATGACTGTCCAAGAACTGTAAGTATCATTAGATAATTTTTTAAACAGCAAGAGAATTTTGAATGGCTTCTGAGTATAGATTCTGTTATGTCTATCAGATGTAAATCACGAAGATTTACTCTGCGAAGTAAAAAGAAAATGATGATCGCACAGTAAAAACTGAGAAAAAGGATAGAACAATCATCTCACTGAAGAGAAAGATAAAAGACACACAGAAGTAAAAGAGAAAAACGTTCAGTTTCAATAATTAAGAAAATTTACCCTTACTTTTAGGAACAGAAAATGAAGTGAAGTTGGTCAGCCTGGACACTTACATATGGAAGGAAGCGGGATAACACTGCTGTACATAATGCCAGCAACATCGGTCATTTCAAGAATAAAACGAAAATACTGAATATAATGTAATGTACTGGATTCTGATCTTGAGAGCCAGGAGGGGTGTGGGAATTCCTTTATTTATTTATTTTTTTAATCTTTGTATTTTAGTGCTGAGTAACAGAATATAGCAAATTCACCATAAAAGAATAAAGAGGGTCTTAAATTTTGATAGATGCTTCTTTACTTGAAATGGTAAGTCCACAGCAAAGCAAGAACATTATGGTAATAACATACACCTGAAGGGTGTGCTCCTATACCCTTAATTCACAAACACTGTTGGAAACCAATGCTCTCGCAATTAAAGAAAGAAAGAAAGAGAACGAACACTAAGGTGTCTGAACTGCACTCTTGGTCTCTTTAAATACTGAAGTCCAGCATTTTTTTTTTATTGAAGTAACTGACTACATGAAAGACAATATGAAAACACAACTATGACACCACTGATGTATTTTCTTTTTGAACTTGATTAAGGGATGTGAAATAGATGGAGTAGTATACATCACTGTGACCCCTCCAATTAATGTCAAAATGTAGCTTAAAACTGAATTATTGACAATAATGGAGTTAAAGTTCAAGAATATTCACCAAGATACAGTTCTCTATGTGAAGCATCATAAATAAATAAAAAAAAACTATATTTTAAAGTCTCCAGTAACCATTGCTTACCTAATAGTTATTAAAATAGTTGCATTTTGACATGATTTGTTTTACAAATAAGAAAGGCTTTTATTCAAAATTCATACTCTAAAACTTAACAAAGAGAGAAGAAACAAATTCTTTCCTTTTGAAATATATAGGACACCTTTATGGGGCCTGAAAATGACAGTGCAAATACAATTCGCTAGAAGACTTTTAAGCAGGTTTAAATTGCTTCTGCAGTCATACACACTTTAATACCTTTATTGCATTGTTTCTATTATGTATTCCTGAGAGTTACTGTTTAAATGTTAGACCATTTCCAACTTCTTATATCAAACTGATTTGCTGCAATCAATCTCTTCTTCAAACCACTGGTTTTGTTATTGAGCAAAAAAAAAAAAAAAAAAAAAAAAAAAAAAAAAGCAATGACTTTCCAGATCTTAGGAAAGCAGTGAGTGTTAAACAGAAATACTCTTTGTTTCTAGAGATTCAAATCCTGGTTTTACTCTTTTCTCCTTTACTCTAGATACCCTCACTTCATGCCTTACTCTTCTCTTGCTCGTAGGAGCTCATAGATATGAGAATACATTGAGAAACATGTGAAGTTAAACCCAGGGCTTGGCACATACGTATGTTAGAAGCTCACTAACTAATGGATACATCTGTTAAATTAGACACCGTTTCATGAAGTTGTAGCAACTCTACCAGACAGCTTGGTCCCAGGAATTTTGTCATAATAAAGCACACCTGTACCTCTTCAGGGCATCCACTGTCCACCCAGTCCTGCCGATGGCGATCAAATCCACTGGAGCATCTTCAGAGAGGACCAAGTTGCGTTCCAGAAAAGAAGAAAGGAATGCAGAGTGGGAGCAGAAATTAAAAGAAAAAAAAGTGATTAGGTAATTCTCCAATTTTTAGTTTAGTGTAACACAAACATTCTTCTATAGTACCATTAACTGGAACAGCTGTGAATCATTTCCAATTTTCAGAATGTGACTTACTCCTTAGGTTGTGACTATTAGAAACATGTGGTATCGTGATTCTCCACTGAGACCCACCTGAATACCTATGCAGAAGACCAATTACTATTTGGTGAAGTTAGTTCTTTTTCCTCTTTTTCTTTTTCTCTTTATCCAAACATATGGATAACATACATTTCATATAGATAGCATTTTTTGGAACTTCACACCTCTTTTTTTTTTCTTTTTTTCATTTAAAAAAAATTAACATCCATTGTCACAAGCTATTTTGCAAAGGAGGGTGAACTGGGCAAGCACAAAGTATTCAAACCCTCACATTCCAAAGAAAATCTGGTCCCTTTCTGGCTCCCTGGAGATACCCTCTAAGCTCCTGGAATATTCTGCCCGATTAGAGTGTCTTGGGTCTTGTGCTGTATGAGATAGTTTATGCTAACAATATGATTTATCGTGAGTGTCTGGGTTTATTCGCCTGGAAACTTGAGCCATGTATCAGTTTGACCTTTTGGAGGGGCTGGAGATTACAGATAAGGTCATTCATGGAGAATTCCATACCTCTGTGACTGACCCTCAATAAAGACTCTGGGCCCCACGGCATGGGTGAGCTTTCTTGGATGGCCACACTTTTGTATGTTTTCACAAACTGCTGTGGGGGGGGGCATTCTACTGGGATAGGACAGCTGGAAGCTTGTCTTGGATTTCTCCTGGATATGCCCTACCTGCCTTTGATCTTTGTGTATTTTAATCTGTATCTCTTTCTTGTAATAAATAATGATATTGGGTATAATAGATTTTCTGAATTCTGTGTCTGTGGGAAATGCCACATTGGTGTATGTTTGTGGGGACCCCTCACACTATGATTAGGTCATACTAAAAGTTCAATTCCGCAAACACTGGGCTAAGACATTTTTTATTTACTCCTTTTCTCTTCCTTGATCAGAATATATTTTCTAGTCTCCCTATCTATTTAGCATTCATTTTTCAAAACCTAGAAATTAGTACCCAGAGTCTGCACTCATAAAGCTTCATAACTGCCATGATCCTACCTTGCTTAGTGATTTAATTTTTTCCCATATTTTCTAATAGTGACACTCAGCAACTTCTTTTTCACTTGTTTTGCAATGAGTCTACATGATGACTTTTTCTAAGAATTCTTGCCAGAGATTATGTCTTGCGGCATGAATGAACATAATTTAATTCAAGTGGAATGTGAAACAACTCTATTGTCAACGAAAAAGACCATATCTATCATTCTTCCCAGACATGACCCATTAGAGCTTAGATATTTTATGCCTACCATCTGTGTTGAATGAGCTTAAGTGTGGCATAAACAGCAGTGTGTGAACTGGCATCCAAAGTCTGAGAATCTCACATAGGACAAGGGCATCTCTGTTTACCCAAAGAGATTCAGATGTTTGGAGTTTATTTAATTGCAGATGAGCTATGTGGTTGTTTCCTTCATGCTTCCTTTCAAGTTGGTTCAGTATTGAAAAATGTGCTGACATTTTCTTGCAAGTTGGGGAGAAATCACTTTTCTACAAAAAGATCATTTTGGGACCTACCTGACCACCTTAATTAATGAAATAGATGCTTTTTGAAATGCAGATCATCTTTACTTACTTCATTCCAGAAGTATTTGCAGACAATATAACTTTTACTTTATGGATCAAGAAATTTTATCTTAAGTAATTAAAGGTAGTTAATTCTTTTTTTTTTAAAGGTAGTTAATTCTTTCAATTTGTTAAATTAATACATGAAGCAAATAACAAAAACCTCTAGCTTGCTTTATTTATTAATAATATCTCAGTAATAATGTGTGAACTGGTTTTACTGAAGATATGATTCAAGTATAGTAACTTATTTATTTATTCACAATTGGTTTTCTATTAGTTGATCTGAAATTTACTAACTGCTAGAGTGGGAAAGATTGCAAATAGTAAAACACTAGTAAGATTTGATTTGAAAAGCTCATATTTTTGTAATTTACACTTCCTAAAAATTAACACACTAGATTCTGTCTTCTCAGTATTTTTTATAACCTTAAAATCCAAATAGTATACAAAGGCAATTATAAATAAAAGTGTGATATATTTTTGTTATAGAAATCATGTGAGATGATCTTTCCATTATTTCAGAAGTCTAACCAAAATGTGCTTTTGAGAATACTTTCTTAGCTTTGTTGAGCTCCTCTAGTTTATTTCTTCCTAAAACACAAAGGCATTAACTATGCCACTGTGTAAGTATATTGGTTTCCTGACATTTTTTTTTAACAATGATTGATTACTTTTTATATGTAAGAAACTAAGAGGTTCTCCTAAACTGGAATCACTTAGCATTCACATTATTACTCAAGTTTCTTATGTTCAAGATTCCCTAGCAATTGAAACCAGTAATTTTCATTGTAATCAAGGACTATGGTGATTCTTACAACAATGAAATTTGAAAACCACTGACTTCCTGTATGATATATCACTATGTCAGGCCTTTTACACACCCCTCCAACACACTCATCATCTAAAACTTGTTTTCATTTTCCACCTTCCTCTACCCTACAAGTGCTCTCTCTAAACATGTTATTATAAGATCCTCCTCTCTAATGAGCAAATGCAATTCAATACAAGTTTTATCTCATCCAAGAAGCATCTCCTCCCCCTCTCACATGTAACAGTTAACCACTTTGCAATGCTACCCAGAATGTAGTACAAGCATCTGTTACTGCACTACAATTTGTTGCTTCCCAGTTTACCTTAGTTACAGATTTTGGGGAGAGCATGATTTAAACTGGCATCTGGAGCAAGGTGCTTGAGTTAGAATTTTCCCTTGGCATAAAACAGGTATATGATCTTAGTTACTTTTCCTATTTGTGATGACTTCCTCATCAGTAAAGTTGGTAAAGGTAGTTATATCACTGTTAAAAGCAGAATTTTTTCACATGGTCAACATTTAGTAAATAATACCTATTTTTAGCACTTAATAAAGTCTGCGTAGTAGCCATTTGATAAAGTTGGCCATTGTTGAATATAAATATGTGAGATATCTCACTTTGTGGACAGAATTTATAGTGTTTAAAAATTAATTCTGTGTACCATGACAATGTGACCTGGGTTTAATATATCAAGTAATTTCTCATCATATTTAGGATAGATTCTTTGAGAGAAAATCTAAGTTGCTCTCAAACATGGACCAAGTGGTTTTATAAATAATCCTGAAAAACGGATTTCCACAAAATGTAGGTTTCTAACTACAACAGGTTTCCATTATTATTATTATTTTATTCTCACTCTTACCTAATTTCAAACAGACTGGTAGAACTATACTTCAAATTAATTATACTATTCTCCATGTTAAGTGTATCTATTAAGCAAGGCAGCCTAGAAAACAGGGACCTTCCTAGTGGTGCAGAGGGTTAAAGTCACTTCATGAGTTCAATGGCCACCCGCCTTGGAGGTGATCCACAAGGTACAGCAGACCTCTCCTGACACGCCCGCTTCTCCCCTCAGCAGTGCACTTAGTCAGTTGGCCTGTTCTGCTCCCCAATCTGTCTCTGGTGAATCCTCTCACTTCCCCTGCACCTATGGCCTGTACCCTAGTTCTGTATGAATAAATAAATCTTAAAAAAAAAAGAAAGAAAATAAACAATACTCTCCTAACGTGCATCATCTATTCATTCAAGAGATTAGAGTGTAAATCTCATTACATCTCTAAAGTATCTCAGTTTTGTATGAAGGGGTTTAGAAATACAACTTATTTTGTAAGAATATATATTCAGGTAAAGGAAACAAAGTTCATATTAAAATACATATATTAGTAATACATCAAGATTAAAGATGAAGTGCATATCTTACTACACAACTTTATGTGTTATTTCAGGAGTGAGATGAAACATCTGAAAAAGGGAACTGACTTTAAAAAGAAGCATCATAGAATCTTAAATTCCCATTTGGAATTAATGTCTAGATTAGAAAGAAGGAAATGTTTCCTAGATCAGGAGTAAAGACTAGATAGTAAATATCTTAGATGTTGCAAACGATATAACATCGACCCTACCTACTCACCTCTGGTTTTGTACTCAAAAGCTGCCACAGACAATTGCATAAAGAAATGTGTATCTGTGTTTCAATAAATTTAATTTATAAAACAGGAAATGGGTCACATTTAGCCCATTTGCTATAGTTTGCTGACCAATGTCTTAGGTTATGACATAGTAAACATCATTAAAATTATGAACAATTTAGAACAAATGCTTCATCGAGGTTTGCAATAATTTAAATGGTCCTTTTAGCCATAAGTGTATTTATGAGTATGCTATGTTAACAGAAAATCAATTGCCTATTCCTTAGTCAGTATGCAAAAGTATGGGATGGGTTCATCCAATATCAAAGAAATGGAAAGATGCCTAAAAAGAAACAAAAATAAGAAACAAGCATATGATAGTCATGATTATAACTAATAATATATTTTGTCAACTGAAACAGGCAATAGGTAGTATGTGTAGTTATAAGATATGGGCATTTCATTTTGTTTTGAAATATTAAACATGTTAATTGGAAAGGCAGGTTATAAAATTTAAAATGTTGACTATGATCATTATTTTCAATAAAAAAATTAGTCCAAATTCATATCTCATTTCCTATGAAGGGCATACTTGTTTCTAACTGGCCTCAGAAATGAGACAGATGATTTCGCTTCTAAAAACATTTCTCCTAAAAAACAAACAAAAAAACCCCAAACTTCTTGATTGAATTTTTTCAGTATTTTCATGCCTGCACCACTCAACACATCAAACTCTGGGAATGAAAGAAATATGTAGAAACTTACTGTAGAGACAATATTATCA